ATTAAGTCACCTCTTAACCTTCTTCTCTCTAACGAAAACAGCCTCAAGTCCCTCAGCCTTTCCTCATAAGACCTTCCCTCCATACCAGGCAACATCCTCGTAAATCTCCTCTGCACCCTTTCCAATGCTTCCACATCCTTCCTATAATGTGGTGACCAGAACTGTACGCAATACTCCAAGTGCGGCCGCACCAGAGTTTTGTACAGCTGCAACATGACCTCATGGCTCCGAAACTCAATCCCTCTACCAATAAAACCTAACATACTGTACGCCTTCTTAACAACCCTATCAACCTGGGTGGCAACTTTCAGTGATCTATGCACATGGACACAGATCTCTCTGCTCATCCACACTACCAAGAATCTTACCATTAGCCCAGTACTCTGTATTCCTGTTACTCCTTCCAAAGTGAATCACCTCACTTTTCCACATTAAACTCCATTTGCCACCTCTCAGCCCAGCTCTGCAGCTTATCTATGTCCCTCTGTAACCTGCAACATCCTTCTGCACTATCCACAACTCCACCGACTTTGGTGTCATCTGCAAATTTACTAACCCATCCTTCTACACCCTCATCCAGGTCATTTATAAAAATGACAAACAGCAGTGGCCCCAAAACAGATCCTTGAGGTACACCACTAGTAACTGAACTCCAGGATGAACATTTCCCATCAACCACCACCCTCTGTCTTCTTACAGCTAGCCAATTTCTGATCCAAACCACTAAATCACCCTCAATCCCATGCCTCCGTATTTTCTGCAATAGCCTACCATGGGGAACCTTATCAAACGCTTTACTGAAATCCATATACACCACATCAACCTGTTTGGTCACCTTCTCGAAGAACTCAATAAGGTTTGAGAGGCACGACCTACCCTTCACAACACCATGTTGACTATCCCTAATCAAATTATTCCTTTCTAGATGATTATAAATCCTATCTCATCTCTTAATACTTTCCAACACTTTACCCACAACCGAAGTAAGGCTCATTGGTCTATAATTACCAGGGTTGTCTCTACTCCCCTTCTTGAACAAGGGGAAAACATTTGCTAGTCTCCAGTCTTCTGGCACTGTTCCTGAAGACAATGACGACATAAAGATCAAAGCCAAAGGCTCTGCAATCTCCTCTCTAGCTTCCCAGAAAATCCTAGGATAAATCCCATCCGGCCCAGGGACTTATCTATTTTCACATCTTCCAGAATTGCTAACACCTCCTCCTTACGAACCTCAATCCCATCCAGTCTAATAGACTGTATCTCAGTATTCTCCGACTACATTGTCTGTTTCCTGTGACAAAAAATATTCATTTAGCACCTCTCCTATCTCTTCGGACTCCACGCACAACTTCCCACTACTTTCCTTGACCAGCCCCAATCTTATTCTAGTCATTCTTTTATTCCTGACATACCTATAGAAAGCTTTAGGGTTTTCCTTGATCCTACCTGCTAAAGACTTCTCATGTCCCCTCCTGGCTCTCCTTAGCTCTCTCTTTAGGTCCTTCCTGGCTAACTTGTAACTCTCAAGCGCCCTCACTGAGCCTTCACGCCTCATCTCTACATAAGCCTCCTTCTTCCTCTTGACAAGAGATTCAACTTCTTTAGTAAACCACGGTTCCCTCGCTCGACCACTTCCTCCCTGCCTGACAGGTACATACTTCAAGGACACGCAGTAGCTGTTCCTTGAACAAGCTCCACATTTCAATTGTGCCCAGCCCCTGCAGTTTCCTTCTCCATCCTAAATCTTGCCTCATAATTGCCTTTCCCCCAGCTATAACTCTTGCCCTGCTTTATATACCGATCCCTTTCCATCACTAAAGTAAACGTAACCGAATTGTGGTCACTATCACCAAAGTGCTCTCCTACCTCCAAATCTAACACCTGGCCTGGTTCATTACCCAGTACCAAATCCAATGTGGCCTCACCTCTTGTTGGCCTATCTACATACTGTGTCAGGAAACCCTCCTGCACACATTGGACAAAAACTGACCCATCTGAAGTACTTGAACTATAGCGTTTCCAGTCAATATTTGGAAAGTTAAAGTCCCCTATAACAACTACCCTGTTACTTTCACTTCTATCCAGAATCATCTTTGCAATCTTTTCCTCTACATCTCTGGAACTTTTCGGAAGCCTATAGAAAACTCCCAACAGGGTGACCTCTCCTTTCCTGGTTCTAACCTCAGCCGACGAGTTGTCATCAAACGTCCTTTCTGCCACCGTAATACTGTCCTTGACTAACAATGCCACACCTCCCCCTCTTTTACCACCTTCCCTGATCTTACCGAAACATCTAAACCCCGGAACCTGCAACAACCATTCCTGTCCCTGCTCTATTCATATTTAAGCAATATTTAAGTCCAGTTTTAATCAAACAAATGCAAGAGACTGAGGAAAGCATGAACCTCAGCGATTGTGGACATATACTCAGGTTTTTTTTTTGAAAAAATTGCTGGTTCAACTAATTTCACCCAGATTACATGGAGGTCGCTAACACAAACGAAAGGAAATGTCTGCTATTTAAATTAAGGCCATGGTCAAAATTAAGAAATAAGTGACTCGAGTGGGCAGTCAGTCACATAACCTGTACTTCTTAAAATGCATAGCTTTTATGATCGTTTTCACAACGGACTGTGAGAAATCTGCTATGGTTTAAATAACTTTATTTTGGATGTCATTGGTCAATTGGAAGTTATTCTTTGGAACTGAATTTTCCAATCCCCAGCACCCACCAGCAGGTATGAAGGTGAAGGGCATGTTATTTCCAAGGGCAGACTGCCTTTTGTCTACCCACTTACCCCTGCCCCCAACATAATTATAACAGCAGAGGTGGTGGCGTCAGTGAACCATTCGAAACTCTCAAGCAGGCAATAAATTCCCATTTCAGGGCCTCATTTTGCCATCACCAATGTGGAACCAGCTGCAGAAGAGGCTGAATACCAATGGCGCAGACTAGCACCCCTCTATCTGGCCTCCTGGTGGTGCTAGGTAAAGGACAATCACAGGGAAACCCCAAACCTATAGACCCTTCCTGGCAGAACCCTACCCACCACGGACCTACTAACCTCTCTCCCAGATACCAACCCAAATCTGGATTCAAAGTCTCACCTCTTCATGACGTTGAGCCACGATCCTATTGAAGGGTGGAACAGGCTCAGGGACCAAATGGCCTACTCTTGATCCTATTTCTTACAGGCTTACTCACTAAATTCCTCTCTTCAAGATAGGTCTTCCTTTTGCTAAGGATCAGGAATTCCTCCTACAGTTTATGAACAGCCAATTGGGGGACAAGGAATCTGGTGCCTCCTATTTAAGTCTTTAGACTTTTGTTTGGACTGATAACATGACATGAAACTGACTTTACAAATAAAGAATTTTTTTTTTTTTTTTTTTTAAAAAAAAAGTTGCCTGACCCTTCAGCATCAGTGAATGGTGTTTCCGTTGACCTGACACTTCCTTCTCTAAAATGAAAAAGATACTGAAATTGAAAGCACATTTAAAAAGTGATCCAATATTTTCAGCACAAATTCACTGCAGAGCTCAATCTAGTCATCCGGATAGAACGGGAATAAATATCTGATCCAAATTCCACTTCCAGATCCTCAACACATAAATAAAAGAAAAGAAAAACAGGTCTATCACTGAACCTACCACTCCATCCCACATCTAGCTCACTAATGATTTAGATTTTCTTTTATCACCACTTATCTCATCACCTGATTTCATACCATGAGCTGAAGTTAAAGATGGCAATAAATTGGCTGAAGAAGGGGCACTGGGCTCAAACTTTAATTTGCTTTCTCTCCACAAATGCTGCCAGACCTGCTGAGTTTTTGTTTTCCTTTCAAGTTTCCAGCATCTGCAGTTATTTGTTTTATTTTATTCATTCATGTTGATTGTTCTCCCCATTTTACTGTTACAACTTCTGCTCATAGAATCGTGCAGTACAGATGAGGCCCTTCAGCCTTATCAAGTCTGCTATGCCAAATACACACATGTACCTACACTAGCCCCACATCTTTGAATATTATGATATTTCAAGCATTCATCCAAATACTTTAAAAAATTTGAGAGGCTACTTGCCTCAACCACCCTACCAGGCAGTGCATTCCAGACACCCACTACCCTTTGAATGAAAACAATTCTCCTCTCTAAACCTCCTATCTTTCATTCCAAAAGTCTGTCCCGATTGACAGTTCAATGAAGGGACAGCTGCTTTCTAGTCACCTGATCAGTACCCCTCAAGTTTTTTTTCCCCCCAGAGTTCTTGTAGCATGGTTGTAGTGTCCCCACCTCCAAACCAGGAAACCCACACTCAAGTCCCATTTGCTCCAGAAATATATGCACCTCAACCAGGTGCCCTTCTCAACCTCCTCTGCTCCAGAAGGCAACAACCGGAGCTCATTGTCTCATATACAACCTCCATAGAGTAGGAACAAAATATAGACTGCAAAAATCTTTCGTTAGTATAGTTGTACATTTTATAAACCTATTGGTTTAAAACTGCCTATTTAAGCAGCATAAGCAAATGATACATTCCAACGACTGAAAATTGCTTATACATAAACAGGGCAATCTCATTACTCATTGTCTGATAAATAGGAAGATCAGTGCTTTAAATTTTTCTTTAAAAAAAAAGTGGTTAGTACAATAACAGGAGTGTCATTCCAATTACTTACATCGAATATAATTAGCGTATTCGAATTTTCTGTCGGAAGTTTAATTTATCCACGCACCCTGCAAGCAAGTCCCACTTTTTGTTTGCAAAATCAGGGAGTTCATTATTTTAATTAAGATCCTTCAGCTTTTGCAGAAAGCGAATCATGATCACTATCACTTGTAATTAGTCAGTGTCCCCTTCCTCCATACTTCGTAACATTCACGCCTCGCAGATTATTTTAGAACAACATACGCGTTTGCAATTTAATCTCAATTTACTGCTGTAACCCGATGAACCGTTAGAACAATTCGCAATGTTAAAAAAAAACTTTTGTAATTACCAGACGTTATTCTTTGTGAAGAGTTCAGCTCCAATGAATGTAACCGGTCGCCCAACAAGCCAGTTACGCTAGCTCTTTGCTGCCACCTCCCGTTAAAGATGCATTGTCCTTCCCTATCAAAGACGACAGTATCGGAAAATTATACAATAACAGCATTGACATGCAGCAAATACATATGAAGCCTATAACAACCTTTAAGAGCTAATATAACACATGAGCCAGATAAATCCTTTAAACAGCTTCTGAAAAGTGACACGAATGTACAACTGCATTCTATACGGCAAGCTAATGTTTTTTTTTGCTTCTCTTCATCTCAGCATGCTTCCGCTGACTTACTCTGATTTTGTCCTCTCTTATAACAGCAGCTGTCGCTCTCTGAACAGATACACGAAATGATAAACACCTGCAGCTCCTTCCTGGCCAATTCCATCACTGTCACAGCTTTGCTTGCAACCCAGTGACAAGGAAAAGATCACACAAAATCCCGAACATTGAAACGAATGGAGGCAATTTACATCATGCAGCATAGCTACTGCGAAGCCAAGACAAAGCACATCAGTGGTACCAACCAGAAAGAACATTCTTTAAAAATGCAGTCTACATAACATGAATATTTTATCCACTGCACCTTTCTCTGTATTAAGTATGTTAGAGAGGCTGAACTATAATGGAAGCTGAACAATTGAAGGCCATGATGCAGTAAAGGGAAATAAAGAATGTTTTTTGAAGAAGGGGTGGGTTGATTCTGTGCAAATTCTGCACGTTCAAAATCAAAATTTCTTACATGAATTTCAAACTGTTTGGTTTAAGTTATGCCACCCTTAGTAGTATTAAATATTTTAACAGCACTTAAAGCAGAAATATAGCACAGATTATTATCAGCTCATCTATTGTTACAAATGTCTATACAACAAACCCTTTTGTCCCCCAAGGAAATTTTCAGCACTTGCATCTTCCTTTAAGCATCTGCTTATTGGGATCACAAAGAATTCCCTTTGTTCTAGACAGCTATCATGAAGTAGGCAGTCCTAGAAGTCACTTGCTTGTCTGCATTTCATTTAAACTAAATTAAGGCTCAGGAACAAATTTTCATTGAACATCCTATATTGCTTTTAGGCACGCAAGATACTTCCTTTATAACCGAATAAATCTTAGTTGCTCAGATTTCACAGCTATACTTCATGTAGCTAACTAAACCCTATCGCCTTAGATCCACCTACCAACAATTTACAGTTAACTCCTTCCTTCAATCCACATGCTTTTGAGTCTCTCAAAGGACTGACAGCTAGGATCATGTGAAGCGTATTTTTATATACCACACTGAGCATCTGACTTGAGCAATAGATTCATGTATTAACCTTAACTCACATCACATATTGACTGGATTCTAATTTAATTTTCTGCACATCATAAGCCACCATTTTTTTTCTCTTGTGTCATCTGCTAACTTAATTCTAAATACATGCTCTGAACAGCAACATGTACCCAAGAAATCCTGAGGGTACATGTGCATGGTTTTATCATGAAGTTAGTCATTTCAACACGAGCAACAAGACACACTACATCCAGGTTGAACAAAATTATATTAAGAAAAGCCATTACTATAAAGTATTTAAAACATTACCTGAAGCTTCATCAGTTACGATGGGTCGCAGATTTAAAAATAAAATATGCTGTGTTCTTTTTCTAATGAATGCCTATATGAGGGAATGTCAAAATATACAGGGATCTCTGAAATCCAAATTTATTTAAAATGTTCAGAACAATGCTGAGATGTTATACTGGTTTCTTTAAAAAAATACTTCAAATGGTAGGAACGTTATTTCTTTTCGACTTACTGTAACTTCCTGTTCATAAACTAAATTCACTGTGGCATAAAAAGGTTGAGGTATATGTGCACTATTTGATAATAGATATGAGGCATGCAACCTGCTCTTGACATATCAGCTTCCTATAAGTGCACACAGTCTTTTTTTAACTTCTCCTTAAGCTTAATGATTATTTTACTTTCATAGCACCACATGCCATTCAGATTCTACTGAAAAGGCTTTTTTTTGCATTTATTTAACGAAACAATAGAAATGCAACAGATCTTAGAGTGAACAGTGATTTTGAAATAGTTGATTTAATATCTAAAGGATTAGAAGCATACTGAGTTCTGTTTTCTCAAAACAGAGTTCATTGCTAGAAGGCAATGCAGTTCATCCAAGCTGGCGTCCTACCTTCTGTTTAGGAGATCTCTTGCTTATCAGAGCTCCCAGTATAAAAGGTGCCCCCAGTTAAATTTCACATGGCATCTCAACCATTGAGGATTTTTTACCTTCCTCTCCAAACAGTCACCACACGTCCAGTACTAACAGCCGGCAGAACCATGCAGGCAGCATCTCAGCAGCATTTAGCTAATGGCCCCTGGGCCAGTGAAAACTTTTACATGCTGCTAGCTGTTTGAATTCTCTTCACTGCAGGACTTTCATTTACAGTGACAGGCTGCTGCCAGACGCAACTAAAGTGGACCTATCAGAGTCTGTGTATGCAAAACTCAATTCCTCACCATTAGAAGCAATCCAACATAATAACATCTCCTCCAGCCTTTGTATTAAGTGGACAGTTTCATTCTGAAGCTTTAATAACACTGTTGAGACCACTTACAGCATTAACCCTTTGGGTTACAAAATGGCATTCCAAATATCCTTGCTTCACTTTCATATGCTCATATTCATTCATTTTCTAGTAATTAGTTTGAGGGACACAAGGTGGGCAAAAAAACAAATTTCATGCAAGAATAGATAGAACATGGCAACATAAAAAAAAAATCATGAGCAAACTATTCTTACAAGAAACTGGGAATAAAATTCTAACTTTGCATTTTTCCTCAATGGGAATGTAAATTTAATCTTCACACATTACATAACTATAACCTAATCTTTAAACTCTGTGAAATCCTTTAAACTGGGATCTTCCAATATCTCATAGAATTGATTTTTTCTTTAACATGGTAAAACATTTACCAGAATAGACTAACAAAAATCACATTTCCAGGTTTAACTTCTTTCTTGAATTTGGACAGTGTTTTTACCCGAGTGAAGTCTTAAAGGATTTACATTGGTAAGTGGCTTTATCAAAATTTGACAACATTAATTTGGTGGTGATTTGGAGTCACTGTTTACAATCTAACTATATTGTCCTAGCCTTGTAAATGTGCTCTTTTATATGTAAAAAATATTGAATACAATCAAATCACATGAACTAGACTTAGATGAGACAATGTTATACTTTTAACTCTCTTTAAATTTTACATCACATTATTGATTTTTTGATTTTCCCAGCATTTGCCATCTCTTCCCTGATCCAGAAAACGTTTTAATAATCTTCAGTGCCATACTATCAGACTCCAGTAGAAATTGAATACAACATGAAATATATACATGTTTGGCTCTTTAATTTATGAATTAAATCGGCCTATATATATACATATGTTATTTTGGAGCTAGCGATCCAATTCATATTTCAGTTTATTGGTTCACATGGCCACAGTTCACTTTGATTAGGAACCTTTCCTCCTCAATCCAATGTACAGTAACTCACTGTAGGCAGTAACAAAAGCAAATCCTCTTCACTCAATGAGAAGTGTCACATTACGCTGCCTTTAATCCAGAACAGGGAAACTCAAGAAAATTAGCTCAGGATTCAGCGCCTCGTTTCCAGTGATTGCAAGTCCATTGTAAAATCAAAGTTTGACCAAGATTAATGAAAAACAAGTGTTCAGTTTTAAAAAGGTTAGCCAACTTTCTTTAAAAGAGTTAGCAATGAAAAGTGCTGTGGCATTTTCATCCAAGAACTGTTAACATTATGGAAAAATATTAGATTAATATTTATAACAAGAGTGATCTAATTCCAATAACCTTAAATCAGGGCATGTGTTATTTTGTAAAAGTAATATCTAAATTATGTTTGCTTCTTTTGATATGGTGTTACATTTCTAAGGGAATTTTAAAATGTATTCAAAATGTATTCAGTATTAAAATGTATTTTTACTGCACAGAATAAATAATGTAGAATTCCATTATATTGCTTGATTGCAAGTTTTCTCAAATTGGTCTGTTACCAAGATTGGTACCTTTCACCTCTGCATATCATACTCCTCACCATCAAAACATTCATCCACACTCTTATCAACTTGTGATTGGACTTTCCCAATGCTTTCACTGCATTTGCTGTTTATCAAATATGAGTCATCCCAAGTCATGTACCCCTTATCCTCAGCCTCATTAATGCCTGCATTTTCATACACATAAACCTCAAGAAACTTGACATATTGCAACAAATCAACTTTAAGATATTTGATTCCACATTCAAATTCTTACCATCCCTTCGTCCTTTCTAATTTCAAGATCTTCTTTAGCACTCCATTTATATGGCCACCTTCTAGTCCTCTAATACCTATATATTTCCTGTTTCCTGCTCCCTTAATCACCTTACTCCCACCCTCAGTAACTCCTTTTCTTACAATTAATGCTTTGCTTTATTCCCTTAATATTTCTCTGCTTGATATTCCCTACCTATAATATTCCGCTGTAAAGCAGAAGGCATTTTATTGTACATAGTAAGTACCATAAAAATGTAAATTGGCATATCTCAATACAATAATAAATTATTTGTCAAAAATCCTTTGAAATTAAACATCCCAATGCATCTACACCCTTTCAAAAGTACCATCTCAGAAACTAAAATTGGATTACATCCTTATTCAAACATTTCAATAAGCTTATGATCAACGTGAATGCTTTTCAAACTGGGGACTATGACCATAAAAGATCTATGAAATCCTAAGATGTCGGAGTTGTTAATGAACTAGCTCCTTATTTCAATTGTGCATTGTCAAAATATTCTCTGCAAGTTTTTCTTCTTAAAATAACCTGGAATTGAAAGCAAATGGATGGCCACATTTCTAATGGTCTATTTGTTTAAAGTTTCAATTGCACACTCTACTCTCTTTCAGAAGTTGGGAATAATGGTACACAGACATTTGCCAACATTTGGAGGAGGTATTCTGAAACAAAAACAACATTAACCCGGTGCTTTGTTTCTCTTCATCCACAGGAATGGGTTTCTCTGAATTGGCCAGCATTTATTGCCCATTCCTAATTGCCCTTGAGAAGACACTGGTGAACTGACTTCTTAAACCACTGCAGATATTTGGTGTAGGGACAACCACAATTTTATTGGGGAGTGTGATAGAGGATATTTACACAATGACAGTGAAGGAAAGGCGTTCCAAGTCAGGATGGTACATGGCTTGGAGGATAAACTGT